AGTGGCACGAATATGCCAATCGAAACAAACACTTTCCCCTTCCTGATGGCCACATTGCAGAAGAGACAAAGACTGTTGTTCTAAGCATGGAATTGATTTGTCTTTCGTCCTAATTGTGTATGAATGTTTCAATTTATGAAGACATTTACACACATTTGCTCACACATTACTACCTATCAATCTTTAATGTGTTGGTTTCCAGTGTTTATTTCTCATCATTTAAATCCTTAATTGAGATTTAAACCGGTGTTCTTGGGTGGAAAGATGTGATGTTCAGAATGTGCAGATCAGATTACAGAGGGAATGAATAAATTAAGATTACGTCAGAGAGAATAAACCAGGGGTGGGCAATCCCAGTCCTGGAGGGCCGCTATCCTGCATGTTTTCCATCTGTCCCTTCTCCAACACACCTGATTCAAATGATCAGATCATCAGCAAGCTCTGTCGAGGCCTGAACAATTGAATCAGGTGTGTTGCAACAGGGACAGATGGAAAACATGCAGGATAGCGGCCCTCCAGGACTGGGATTGCCCACCCCTGGAATAAACCATTAAAAGCAAGTTAAATGAATGAATCTGAGGACGATGATGGGAGGAGGCGGTGTAACAGATATGACTGAAAAACAAACAAGCAAATTCCTGTCTCCCCCGACATGCTTCAAAATACAAAATACAGACATGGGACTTAAAATGTCTGAAATTGCAGCTGCCCCAGTGTCACCCCAGTGGGCAAAAACCAGGACATCCTTCTAACATTCGGTGAACAGAACTTTTAACACTTCCAGTGAGCACAGGCTGATAATTAGTTTACCAAATCTTTGGTAGATATTTTCCAACGCCTCAGTTACCTTCGTCTTGCAACTCCCACCACAGGAGGACCGGGAAAGATATTTTTTCCCTTGTTTTCAGAAGAATTGCCACGTTCCAAAATAGGACAGTCACTGAGATAGAAGATTAAAATGTCATTGTGGAGTCACTCTGACACCCCCTACCAATTTCCAAATGTGATGCAACATCTTGTCAGTCTTCACCGCACCAGGAAGGAAAATTTTGCTTTCGTAATTTTCTTTTTTGGTTACTCTGACACACCTGCTGAGAAGCTCTGCAATCACATCGCACCGTGACAGACTCCCGGAAAGCGTTCAGCCTGATCAAAGATTTTGCATCTCGCAACAAAGCTGCCTCTGCGCTTCCATAGCTGGCCCCGGCCGGACATGCCATAGTTCCCTTTTATGAGAGCAACCTGACGTGATCTCAATCAGCTACCGTCATTCTGAGCAAAGGAGGACCCCAGGCTCTCATTCTTCCTTTTTTCTTTTTTTTTTCCTTTTTGCAAACTTTAACTCTTTCCTCAACCTCTTTAACCTTTGGTGCTTCAGTGATGAAGAAATTCATTGCGAATCCTCATCATCATCGTGAGCCAAGCAAGACTCACTTTCGACAAAAGTAAGTGCACCTTTGCAATATACTAGGCTTAAATTTGGTGCATATTACATTTAGGAGAATAAGTACCTCCTAAATATCAGCTGTTTTAGATCTAGGCTTCTATATCTTGCACTTATTGTTTTCCCTCCAGTTCACACTCTGCATTTTCTTATCTACATCATGTTATCTAGTTTTTATAACCCTCCATCAATTCCTATGTTATCTGTAGATTATCGGTAGTTAATAAATTCTTTCAATATGAAGAACGGGGTCATGTGTTTTGTGTGTGTGTTGAAATGGTGTGGCATCTGTACAAAGAGTAAACAAACTCCAATGGATGTGCTCTTTAAGGTCCATCCATCCCTCATCCATCCATTCATCCATCCATACACATTACCCATTCATCCATCCATCCATCCATTTTCTTTTTCTTATACGGGAACACCTCGCCAGGAGCATCTCACCTTCTTTTGTTGACCCATAGCTCGTAACCATAGATGTTAGTGGGAATGTAAATCAAGAGCTTCATCTTTTTGGTTCATCGCCTCCTTCACCACAACAGACTGAAACAAGAGTCCCCATCAGGGCAGCTGCTGAATTGATCTGCCTGTTTATTGACCTCTCTATTCTTCCCTCATTTGTGAACAAGTCTCCAACATACTTGAAGTTCTCCACTTGGGCAGATTCTCATCCCCAACCTGCCTGAGGACCATGGTCTCAGATTTGGAGGTGCTTGTTTTTCATCCCAACTGCTTCACACCCAGCAGTGAGTGTTTTGTGGCTTGATGACACCAATAGAGCCATTCCATCCCTCCATCCATCCATATTCCGATCCGCTTTATCCTCACAAGGGTGGCGGGGGGTGCTGGAGCCTATCCCAGCTGTCTTCGGGCAGTAGGCGGGGTATACCCTGAACCGGTTGCCAGCCAATCGCAGGGCCAAAGCCATTCCATCATTTGCAAAAATCTGAGATCTTGTGGCCACCTAACCGGTCCCGCTCTACACCTTCGCTCTTGTAACTCTAAAATGTTATCTTCTAAGCAAAATATATAAGAGTTCTCAAGTCATAAATTGTAAAGGACGTGCAATCTTATTCCCTTTTGTTGCATGTTGTACAAAAAGACTATTACTACTTATAGAAAGATAATAGAATTGATGTTAAAAGGTGAAAAGTCCATGAGCCGCCATGAGTATGTGTAGAATAATAGTTAAAAAGAGGATTTGAGATTTTGCTTCATTGGTCTCATCCTGCAGACTCCACTGAGTACTATCGGCCTCCACTTCTGTTTATCACAAAGATCAGGCCTTTTTAGATGTCAGTGTGAACTTTACCCAGACCAATTAGCCAGTGTGGTGTGACAGAGAAAACCATAGAGAAATCACACGCAAAGAAATGCACATTAAACCAATATACTGTTTAAAAAAAGTCTTTATAATATTGTACCATCTACAGTAACTATATACAGTACAGGTTTGGTAGTCGTCAAATCCATTGACTCATTGTAGTCTGCCTCCATTGCCCAGAGCAAAGAAACAAGTGATAGGTGTGAGTTTAAAGAAAGTGTCACCTGTTAGATTAACGTGGTTCGTGCAGTTGTTTCTGCTGTGAGAAGCAATGACTGATCCCTGGTCCAAAGTACTTGCTCCAACTTTCTCTGACTTACACTGATAATTATCTTTCCTTTTCAGGATTTCTTGCTATACTTATCTTGGTTTCTCTGTCCTCCAGTTGCACTGGACTTCTCCCGGAAATTGACAATAGATCATGATTGTGTGGACGACTGTGCTACAAAAGAAGATGCCAGAGTGAAGCGGTGCACAGTGCTACACTTCTTGAGCTATGGTGGGTGGAGGGGAGGTTGGAAGATGGGGTCGAGGGGTGGGGGCGGGGGTCCTTGCTCATGGTCACCAGTAGTCAGTAGTATCTCTTCGACAACGAGTTACCATTTTGTTGGTCCGCACCAGAATTCGGACTACTTTCTGTTTTAACTTATGATGTTGAAATGTAAACGCTTATGTTCAAATGTGAAACCGATCATATTAATTAAATTTAGAACATCACATACCTGTAAATTATCATATTAAAACAGGTTAAGTTTCATGTCCAGTTCAGGTCACAGGCAGGGTTCATTTTGTTTCATATAGACCAAAGTTACTTGCTGTGCAACTCGGCTGCTCTGCTATACTCCTGTAAAAGAGATTAAAAAAGATTTAAGATTTCAAAAGGTGATACACATAACTAGGTAGGAACGTAGAACGCCTTTTCGGCTCAGCTCCTTTTTAACCACAACAGAAAAATACAAAGTCAGCATCACAGCAAATGCTGCACCAATCCGCCTGTTGATCTCACGCTCCATTCTGCCCTCACTTGTGAAAAAGACCCCAAGATACTCGAACTCCTCCATTAGGGGCAGGATCTCATTCTCAACCTGGAGAGGGTATTCCACCAAGGTCTCATATTGGGAGGTGCTGTTTTTCATCCAAACCACTTCACAGACAGCTGCAAACTGCTCCACTGAAAGTCGGGGATCATGGCTTGAAGAAGACAACATCACCACATCATTTGCAAAGAGCAGAGATGCAATACTGAGGCAACAAAACCAGGCCCCCTATACTTTGACTTCGAGGAGTACAGTACAGGTATTTGCGACTCGATTTTGCATTGTCGTCTGGTAAATTCTGGTGTTATAGTGCCTCTTAGAGGCTGAAACCGAGTGATACAGTTTTAAAATCCACTCACAGTAGAGAAATGGCAATAGCCATAATAATTTACACTCTGACGTTTGATGTCAAGTTGTCAGTAAGATCCAAATCATTTGGATCTTACTGACAACTTGAATACATTTGGACCAAATGTATTCATGTTCACCTTTACCCAAAATTATAAACTGCCTGAAGAGACTACATATGAAATACACCACCCGCTACCCATCGATTCCTTGTACACTTGTATCAAACACTGTTAATGATATTGACAACTAAAAATGAATGTTTCAACTCAAACATTTCTATATTTGAGTTTACACATTCCTTTTTAGTCCCACTTCTGTAGAGCCAGCCCAGAACCCAAATGTGACTCAATCAGAAATTGAATATGATGTATTATGTTTTCTTCACTCCATCCACAACACTGAGGCATGTTTGAACATCTCATCAGCACAAAGTGTCATACAACTATGCTGACATACACACTATGAGGGGACTGGAATTTGGTGGATTAACTAAAATTTTATTTGAAAGCTGATTGTTTTAGTCCCTATGTTGTCCACAGGGGGCCAAAGAATGTGTGTGTGTGTGTGTGTGTGTGTGTGTGTGTGTGTGTGTGTGTGTGTGTGTGTGTGTGTGTGTGTGTGTGTATGTTTGTTTTGTGTGTGTGTGCGCGCGTGCGTGCGTGCATGTTTGTTTTGTGTGTGTGTGTGTGTGTGTGTGTGTGTGTGTGTGTGTGTGTGTGTGTGTGTGTGTGTGCTCGCTTGCGCATATGGGTGTTAGGGATGGGTTTGAATGGTCTGGGTGCTGACAAGGTCCATGTGTGATGACATTCAGTTGAATGACGGTGGGGCAGAGAGAGGACAGAAAGATCAAAGGCATTTGAAAACCCCTACAAAGAGATTAATACAGATATTTAAAGAATATTTGATAAAGCAGTCAAGACAAGCGAAGGTAAATACAAAACTGGACATGACATAAACAAGGTGAGCTTGTGCTTGACAGGCATGGAATCAAATAGACTGCGGCCAGTTTGGGAATATCAGTAACGGATTTCCACAAGTGGATTTCTCCAACATGGAATAGTGTGGGGACTTGGAAGACACACATAGACACACACACACACACACACACACACACACGCACACACACACGCATACACTGTATACAGGCCTTCCTTCCTCTGGTTTCCTGTCGTGACCGGCGGCTGTGGCAGTGGAGCGAGTCAGTATGCAGGAGTCTCCAGGTGCTTTGGGTGTAGATGGCAGCTACACCAGCAATGTTCCGGCTTTCCTCACCAAATTGTGGACTCTAGTGGAGGATCCGGATACCAACCACCTAATTTGCTGGAGCGCTGTAAGTAGCCTAAAATCATCTCCCGGACACTCGTAAACAAGGGCTCAATTTACTCTGTACTTCAAAAGCCTTGCTTTTGACATACAGTTAAATAGGTTCCCATAATACCATGTCATACTAAAACTGAAATGTAATGTGTCAGCTTTGGACGACCCAAATGAATAGGTGTCAAGTACACAGGGCATTTTTTTTTCATTCTAATCAAGGAACAACAACAGCACACGCATATGTTAATGTACAATTCATACAAATGTCTTTGTATTAAAATAAAAATGTCTTGCTAACACCTTTTATCGTTCATTTACAGGTTAGCTATAAGCCAGTGCAGCGAGTCATTAGGCTATATATTAATTATAACAAAGAAAAACTCATTTAGTAATTTTAGAATTTCCACAATAAAAGCCACAAAGAACTCATGATCATGCTATGCCATATCATAGGGTTGGATACTTTATTTTTTGTAATGACTGATCTTTCCTGCGAATTTGCAGGATTGAAAATGAAGTCAGCAGTCATTATTTTTTTTTCTTGTCAGTTTGCTCCCTGTGACATATTTTATATCTTTACACTGTAATAGTACCACTAATACTACTAATACAATATAGAAAAAAGGCAATGTATATTTGCTGGCGACAGGCTGAATCCTCATGCCTTCGAAATCATCACTTTTCAGAAAACCCCAAAAATGGCACGTTTGTTCAACATTACTTCGCCAAAGACAGCAAACCATTTTCAACACTTTGGCGAATAATTTGCAAAAATAACACGCACACATATGGACTGACCAAAATTATAGATTTGTGAAAAACTATGACATTTACAAAAATTGTGACAGAGACTGTTTTGCGAATATGAGAAAGAAAGAAAAAAGTATTGTTTAGAAAATGCCATATGCAAAAAAACAAGAAACCCTGGATGAAAACCGGTCATGTGTACTGTCTCTGTCACGTCCATCGTTCTCAAAGCCGTGCATTTGTAAGACCTCGATCTTGAACAAATTCGTTTTGCATGATAAATACAAAGCAAAACAATTAACTTCATGCAATTTTTTTTAGTGAGCTGGTTGGAGCGTCTGTCTGCTGGTTGCCTTGAGGACAACCATTTTTGTCATTTTAATGGCATAGATAGGGTAGTGTGATGTTATAGTGGTCAAGACAGCTGCCTCACAGTCATGTGATGCATTTTCCTCTGACATCCTAACCATACATTTTGTGTTTCAGTTCTTCTCAGTTGATTTGGTTCATTTCTCAAAAATGACTTGTCCAATTGTCATATTATTATGTCACTTGAGCACCTGAAAAAAAGCTATTTCTCATTTCTTTGAACAAGTCGCAAATACTTTGGCACATCCATGTAAATAATAGAGTCCAATTCTCTGCTGTGTTCGACATTATCGTTTGCTTGTGTCAGGTTGGTCAAAAGTTTTCTGAAATTGCTCATCGCAAGTGAAGATAATTGTTGTGATGTGGATGACATTTTGTGACCTATAAGAAATAGGAAGACTGCACTTATTCGTAGAGGGCTGCAAGTACAATTTTCCGTTAGGATATTGTCCCATGTCCACAATTCGACTTAAAATATTTGTTTTTCTTTGTGCAGTGTTGTTATTGGCTTTCTGAATCCCAATGAGGGTGATTGTAGACAACTTACAGTGCAAACAGTAAAACACTGCGTCAGGTAGAATCCTCCTTCCAAAATCATCACTTTTCAGGAGACGTGCCGGGAACCAATCATGCGTACAGTCATGTCCAAAACCTCTGAGTCATTCGGCATTTTTTTCTGAATACAGTACTTTGGAAAAAAAATGTACTGAAGCCGCGATAAATAAAGTGTGATATAGCGAGGGATCACAGTAGATAGATAGATAGATAGATAGATAGATAGATAGATAGATAGATAGATAGATAGATAGATAGATAGATAGATAGATAGATAGATAGATAGATAGATAGATAGATAGATAGATAGATAGATAGATAGACAGATAGATAGATAACATGCATCTTTAAAATATCCTTTGAGTGTAGATGTGATACTGCATATGAAGTGACTCCATTGGACACAAGTTCTGAATGAGAAAAGTTAATAACAGTAATTACTGCATTTGTCTGTTTCAGACTGGGACCAGTTTCCATGTGTTCGACCAGGGTCGCTTTGCTAAGGAAGTTCTACCAAAGTATTTTAAACACAATAATATGGCAAGCTTTGTCCGACAGCTCAACATGTGTGAGTCTTCTTTTATGCTCATTTCATCTCCGCTTTCCCCCCCCCCCCCCCCACTTTTCTTCCTAATGCATTGGTGTTCTGCTTTGCCCGCATGTCTAGACGGCTTTCGAAAAGTTGTAAATATTGAGCAAAGCGGTCTGGTCAAGCCTGAGAGAGATGATACAGAGTTCCAACATCTGTACTTCCTTCAGGGACATGAACATATGCTGGAACACATCAAAAGGAAGGTATTGTATGGACATCAAATATTTACAGAACAAAGAATCATGTGCCCCCCCCCCCAAAAAAAAAAACAAAACAAAAAAAACCTCAGTGTCACAGAAAGACCATGTGTGCAGGTATCAATAGTGAAGAGCGAAGAGACCAAAGTTCGCCAAGAGGACCTCAGTAAACTACTTTATGAAGTTCAGCTCCTGAGAACACAGCAGGACAACATGGAGTGTCAGATGCAGGACATGAAGCAGTGAGTAGACAGGTTCAGTGTGCTCCTCATGATCCTGGAACAGGGCTAGCAGACTAATACAGAAAACAGAAGCAAATTCATGAAGAGCTAAAATTCTGTTACAGATTAAAAAATGATATTGCATAAGGATGTCAGACAGACTTTTCAATTAGGATTTCATTTAAAAAAAATCTTTATTCTCTAAATACAGGCGTTCAAAATATGCATGCTTGAAAAAAAACTGTTGCAATGTTGTAATGTCAACTTGTACAATGACAGAGCTGTTTTTTTTTTTAAATCTCTGGAGGCTATTGTTGTTCAATTGCTGCCGTGTGTTCTTTGTGTGCTGCCGCTTCTTTGTACTCAGCATTGTTCGTTCATGAGAGCAGAGAATGTTCACCTGCTCACCTGACTGGCACACACACACATGCACGCACGCACGCACGCACGCACATACACACACACAGTGATCACTTCTGTGCATCCACATGCATACAGTTAAAAAGTATTTGAAGCCACATTTGAATAAACTAGGTTACTTTTCATACCTCAATAGCCTGAGCTATTGATAAGAACATTCAACAGAATTAAAAATGCCCACGGGAACACAGAATGATTATTTCACAAAACTCTGTTTGGATGGCGCCACAAACAACAAATGTGCAGTACTATAAAACAATTTGATCACTTGAGACATAACGAACAGATGACACAAAAATGTTAACAGCAATCTTACCATTAACGTAAACAGTTTTGGATGCCATGCAAGAACACAAAGAAGAGAAATACGAACACAATAGTTGGGCTGTGTAGAACGCTGTATCATTTCATCACTGCAGAAAAAGTTATTTTTTCTTGCATTCATTGAAATGAATACAAACTATGTTTCCTTGAGCTTGTGATCATACCTTTTTCTTGTACTGTTTGAAGGCAGAATGAGGTTCTGTGGAGAGAGGTGATTTCACTGAGACAGAACCACACACAGCAACAGAAGGTCATGAACAAGGTCAGTCCATATGATAAGAAGAATAGGACTACAGTACTCATATTAATAGGCAGTTGATGAAATATCCTTGATTGACAATTGTGCCAGTGTTATTTCAGTCACAAAGAAGACACGTGCACAAAGCAGTTGACCATATTTGCCTTCATCATCATCCTTTTTTTTTCCGAAGAATGCACATTTTCTTCAAGCTGCCATAATCAACAAACACTTCCACACATAATCAGCTATTATGCCCAATGCTGATACTTGAAATATTATTTCTTTATCATTCAGATGTTCTTTTTTTATTGATCATTAATAGAAACATGGAATGAAGGACACATACTTCTTATGAATAGCAATTGTATTTGACTCATGCAAACATATACTGTACATACATTAAATGTAATTTTCCACAACACCTTTCCCTTAGCCAGTCCCATGACATATAATTGTGTGTGTGTTTGTGTGTGTGTGTGAGAGAGAGAGAGAGAAAAAGAGAGAGAGAGAGAGAGAGAGAGAGAGAGAGAGAGAGAGAGAGAGAGAGATTGAAAGCTTAGAGAGGGTTGCTGATTCATGCTGTGCCTTTTCTCTCTTTGCCAGCTAATTCAGTTTCTGTTCAGCCAGATGCAGTCCAACACACCCGGCACTGTAAGCCTGAAGAGAAAGCTGTGAGTACGCACGCATGCACGCACATACATACATACATACATTCATACATACATATACACACACACACACACACACACACACACACTCACCCATGCACACTCACGCACACACAAACACATGGGGTACCTATCAACAAAAGTGAGACAAATGGGGCCACAGTAGGGCAGAAGGAAGGGCTGGCTCAGCTGACAAACTGAACCATCAGGCTGTGTGAATGGCGACAAGTGCTGAATCAGTCGCACACACGCATGCACACGCACACACAGATGGAAGGCAAAGTAGAGTGCATGACCCTGCTACAGCCAATGTATGTAAAATGCTGGTTCAGCCTTGCAGTGGGAAAGGCCCGTTCTCACACAAAGGTGACAAGAGAACAGACATTTCAGGGTCAGCATGCCACCTGGCAAAGTTGCAATGATGTCTCATGCTTTACCATGAGCTGGCAACATGATTTGGGAGATCACGGTTATATCCGATGATAAATACATAAATACAACAGTTTCAGTATAAGCACAACTCCAGACCACAGTAGGATTTAATTTAAAAAATATATTATTTTTAAATATTACATTTCATACACAAGGCAACCCAATGTGCTTCACACAAGCAAGAAAACAGTACCTACAATCTTTTAGAAACACAACAGTTAATGACATTCAGAGACAAAGCACAGAAAAACTAAAGTACCGGTAGCTTACAAAAATGACTAAAAGAACATATTGACCACATTTCAACACATTAACGGTAAATGACAAAAAACATTTTTCAGTAAAGAAATAAGAGTGGGTTTCTGAAAGAAAAAATACTTGGGACAAGGCATGGAGAAAAAAAGCAAAGTTTTAACTTGATGTTAAAAGCATTTACACTTGGGGCTGACTTCACTTGTGCTGGTAGCTTATTCCATTTGTTTACAGCACAACTTTACAAAAAAAAATTAAGCTTTTTACTTTGAACTCTGGGCTCCACAAACTGACCCAAGTCAGCAGATGTCAGAGCTCCTAATGGGTACATTCAATCAGCAAAGTTTCAAGACCCAATTCATTCATTGATTTATAAACTGGTAGCAGAATTTTAAAATCTATTCTACAGCACGGATACGTTTCTGCTTGTCTGCCTGGAGCATGCAATCCTTCAGTCAGGACATGTTTTTCTGCTGATAAAGGTTATTTTAGCGATTGATTTGATATGAATGCTGAAAGTCAGGTGTGAGTTTATCAGCACCCCAAGATTTCAGACTTGGTCTTTAGGATCTAAAAACAATGACTGCATGTGTTTTCTAACAGCACTCCCCTCTTCTTTATTGCCAAAAACAATGACCTCAGTTTTGTTTCGGTTGAGGTGAAGGAAATGTCGATTCAACCAGTTGCTCTCGATAGTGACACAGTGCGTTAATTGAACTGCTGTCATTTGGGGATATTGATTAATTATAGCTGTGAGTCATCAACATTGGCGCCTTGAAGCATTTGACCCAAAGGCAACATATACAGACTGAACAACAGGGGTCTGAGGACTGCCCCTTGAGGGACTCCAACATGTCATGGCCATTCAATCAAATTCAAAACTTCCAATGGTCACAAAGTAACTAATTTCCCCCAAGTAGGACTTGAACCATTTCAGGACTGTTTCATTTAATCCCACCCATGCTTCCAACTGGTTTAACAGTACCGGTATATTATGATCAATTGTGTCAAATGCTGCACAGAGATCCAATAGAACTAGCACAGACACCTTTCCTGTGTCAGTGTTCAATCTTTTGTCATCTAGTACTTTAAGGACGTTACTCAATACTCTACAGTCCAAATAACTGACTGACTAACTGACCAGTCATTTAAAACAAACAACCAAACAAATATACAAACAACCAAACTAACTAACTAAGTAACTTACCCCAAAAAAAAGATTTTCAGCATACTGACACTGCTCTGAGTCAGATGTTTAACATTGAAACCTCATTGTCTGTTCAGGCCACTGATGTTGGATGATGGCTCCATTAGCCCCCCTGCCTCCAAGTTCAGCCATACTAACCCAATGGAGCAAATACAAGAGCCCTTCTACATACAATCGGTGAGAGAAAATTCAAATTGTACACAATGCATTTTATGCAGCTGCCCTATATTTACAGATTCCTTATATTCATGAACAAAATTCAATGTGCTGGGATAAATAGCAACCTGAATAGCAAGATACTATATTGACACATATTATGGTGATGGTAATAATATTCTTTGACTATTAATACGTACTCCGGTATTCGTTTACAAAGGTCTCCACACTTCCTGAGAGGCAAACAACCCCTTTTTTCTGGCATTTCCTTTTATATGCTTTAATGATGATGAAGATAGCGCACTATTTGAGTGCACTCCATTTACCATTGAACATTTTGAGAATTACATTATTCATTTGTTGGATTATGGCGCATTTTTACAAAAAGCGCAAAATGTGAATTCATCCTAACACCATTCGCTGATGTAAACACGAATAGCGATTTTGAGTGTAAGTGCAAGCTCTTTTACACACACACACACACACACACACACACACACACACACACACACACACACACACACACACACACACACACACACACACACACACGCGGACGCATAAAATTACAAAATTTGGCCGTCATCCGTCAGCGGCCTGGGCGCCACATATCGCTAGTCCGTCCCCCCACCCAAAACAAAAAAAAAAAAATACACAAACAAACAATCAAAAAAACCACATCATAGTCCAACAGATGAAAAGCCAATGTGATTAAAATGGTAAATGGAATGCATCACCTAACAGTGCAGCTTCATTTTAAGGCCCTGATCAAAGAGCTTTCCACAGACATAACACTCACATATACAGTATTTCCCATACACTTATTTGCTAATCTAGCGAATTGAAGTTTATAAAACATCTTACCTTAACCAGTGTGTGTGTGTGTGTGTGTGTGTGTGTGCGCGCGCGCACGCGTTACTCTGTTTCATTAACAAAAGGGATTTGAATGAAAGAATTATTATTTTTAGTGGCATCAAACTGATGTAACCAATTAGTATGTAATTGTATGGTTTCCAAATTTCTGACCGTGCTTTGAAGTTACTTTGCATCCAACACTAACCACTGATTTACATGAAAGATGAATTGTACACACCATCATGGAAAAATTCAACAAATCCTACGTTTTCTATCAAGGCATGTATGCTGCAGCTGGTATGTGATATCAACACTAGATGGAAGCAGTGCTTAGTGAGAGATACTGTCAGGTGTGAGCACCTTCATGTTGTAACTTTGCCTGAGGAAAAAAAACATCACTATTCTTTCCTCTGTGATCTCTTCACAAGGGTTCTTCAATTTCTGCACAGATGTGTTTTCTCTGAGTTGTTTCTTGTTTTTCAGGGATGGGTAGTTTAGACCGGGGAAGAGGTTGTTGATCACATTGACCTGTGGACTTATGAATCGCTGAGACCTTTTTACGTGCATTCTGTACTGTAAATTCACTTGACTTTATTGCTCTTCTTTTTCAGCCATCCAGTGATACTGCTTCGTGTTCTACCACTGCGCTAACAGGTGGACCGATCATATCGGATGTAACAGACATGTCTCAAGCCAGCATGCTACAAATGCAGCCTGAAGAGACCAGGTGAGTGAAGTTGATATAAGTAGTAGGATATTTCTCAACATGAATTCCTGTCATCCTACTCAACATGACTCACAAACTCCCAACAAATGGATAAGAGCTGTTTGAAATTGCTAAAAAGGGTAACACACCTGCTAAAAACAAACAAACAAACAAAAACTTGGAAGGTGATTGTTTAGGTTCTTTATTTATTTTATCCCCATAACATCTCACTGCATGCCACTGGTATGTTGGCACTGTAGGCATAACGTTTGCTATCCACAGAAATTGTTCAAGGAGTGCTGTTTCTTCAGGATGGCACATGCATACGTGGCGTTGGCCAGAAATGTTGCTGTGTCTCCCAGCACAGTGGAAGTAGGAGAATGTGGAGGAAATACCAAAATACAGGCCAGAATTGCATGAATGGTCGAAGTGTACAGTAAAACTACTATAACTAGGTAGCAGTACCGCCCTCTGCTGCATTGTGCAAGGATGAACAGGAGGCAAGAGGAAAATTGGCACCCAACTGGCCACTTGTGTGCATGTTTTTGCCCAAAAATCTCGATAGAAGCAGGTTCACTGAGGGCCTGGCATGCATATGCATAGCTTCTGCTCATAGCTTGGCAATATACAGTCAAAGGAGCGTTTGCCAGAGAACACCACAACTGTCGGATTGGCCATTGGAGCCCTGCTCTCTTTAAAGATCAACCTCACACTGAGACAGTCAGACATATTTGAGACATGCGAGAGAATCTGCAGATCACTGTGGAAAATGTTCTGGTGATTGTAACAGCCTCCAGAATGACAGGTCTGGCCTTGGACCAGTCTATGATTCATATATAAATATGAAATAAATATAGTATTGTATGACTGAAATGTATGTATGTATGTAAGTATGTATGTATGTATGTATGTATGTATGTATGTATGTATGTATGTATGTATGTATGTATGTATGTATGTATGTATGTATGTATGTACGTATTTTTTTCATTTGTCAGTTAATTTATTGAGGGTTGGTCATTTACAACTTAAATGGGACATGGCCTTTTATTACCAACACTTACAGGATCGGTCGTGATGCTTTGTGATTGACTCTCATTTTGACAGTTGTAGCAAGCCTTAAAAAAAAAAAAATAAATAAATAAAAAAGTATACACAGACCACTTTGTATGTAATTTCCCTCATTTTTTTAAGTCGTAGGGAAAAGTGCCTGATGCTGATCAAAGAAGAGCCTGTGAGTCCAGGAGTGAGAGCAGGAGTGAAAGGAGGCAGTGTTGGCGGAGGAGACACTCTGGCATTGACCTCCTCCTGTGAGGTGTGCACCTCAGAACCTCCTGTCCTTCCTGTCGCAATGGTGCAATCTGTTTTGGAGGGGAGAGGCTCATCCACCTCAGTGACAGAGAGGAGGATTAAGAGATCTACGATAGAAAGGTACGTGCCCCCATCCAGTTGATGTTTATGCACACACAACTTGTCACGGTGTGTATTTGTGCCTGCAGAGTGGAGTGTGCTTCTGATGCAGTGGAAAATATGGATATGAGCTTGGAGGAGTTGCAGCAGCTGATACTCAGGAGCCATCAACAGAGTAACATGGATCCAGGGACCAGTACTGTTATGGACGTAAGCACACACAGGCATGCACACACATTGATAGTGGCTGTAAATAGTCTTCACACCCCTTTTCAAATACCAGATTATTGTCATCTCGAGAAATGAGACCTATAATTTGTACAACTCAATTGTGTGTTTTTCATTATGTTTTTTTGTTGTTGTTGTTTTAGAGAGGGGAAGTAAAAATGAACAACTGATATAATGAGGTTGACCTTTTTGTAACCGAGATGTGACTGTGTTCAGCATTCACTAATTTCATTCAAATTTGTGTTAAATAGAAGACAGCAAGTACCCGTCACCATTTAAAGAGCCTTTGATGAATCCAAAATACATTTCAGATGCTCTAGTACGCTTTCACCTACATTTCTTTAGCTTTCTTGGAGAAGCCTGACATTTCTGTTCTAACACTGACTGCTATTTGGAACTGTTCATAATTCGCTTTATCTTGAGTGAGGCCAAAAAAACTCCCAAAACATTATGATGGCCCTGCCATGCTTCAAAGTAGGATTTCTATGTCAAAATTGTCAATTGAGTTGGACATGTTATCGGATACGGAAATATGTATTTCCACATCAATGGTGGAAAAGGTTTTGAAATAATTTATTTGAACATGGGGATGTAGACTTCTTCTATCCATTGCGTAACTGTACAATTCTAAAATAACCACTGCACTTACACAGTATTCGGCCTCTCACTATTCCCTGCCCTGCAAACCAGATATGTTGCCACAGCTTTTGTCTCTTTTGCAGCCCTTCAATGTAAACCTTCCACTGACTGAATGGAGCTTCAATGAGATGGAGTCCAGCCTCAAATCAGTAAGTTGAATGTGCATTTTGTCCATCCTTATTCCTCTACAATAAAATGTTTCCTTCTAGGTGTTAGCTATTTTGTCCATTTCATTAACTTCCCAAGTCAGCTTTTCCATGTCAGAGTGAGCATTAAAATCACTCACATTGCGGTGCATGTGTCTGTCACTTCACAGTATGTCTTCCAAAACCAAGAACCTGAGGCTTTTCCAGCATCAACTTGTGAGAAACAGTGATCAGTTTGTGAGTGAGTGGTCCTTTTTGAAATGGAAGGTAATAATCTTGCCACAGAATCACATCAGGATTTTGACTGTTGGGATATATTTGTTTTAAAAAAAATCTTCCATGTTTATTCAAATACAGTGCAATATGATATTGTTGCTGATGACAAACTCATGACGATTCAGATATTTTAACACAATTAGATTGTGTTCGCTTGCATGGCCTGTGTAACAGCAGCCATTTATTATAGCATCATGATAAAAACATTTCTCTATTGGCTGCCAACTTTGTCTTTTAAAACATGCAGTTAGTCTTCAGACCAAGCGTATCACCCTTTCATTTGGTTATAATAGCACAACAAAGGCAAGGACTGATACGGTCCTTTTATCTTCCATGCTTGCAAAAGTATACTAACAGCAACCATCATAGGACTCCACATTTTCATTTGAATTTTTTAATGGATGCCGGGAAGATCGAGACATGGCCCGGAGACTTTTTTTGCTCCACTCCCACGATTCTTACTCTTAGATTCTTGGCCAGCGGCTAGGGTTTGAGGCGGACTCGGCCTAGCCCATGTGACAATGCGTGACTCCACCGTCTTTAGTGATCGATTTTACATGATTGCTGAAAGTCAGGTCTGGTTTCAACTAGATATGTGTGCCAGAATGCAGATCGACAGGAAAATGCAGAGCCAGGAAAAAGGTAACGACGCAACGGCCGAGCGTAATTGTTGTTGCTGTATTTTCATAACGCACATTGCGACTACTTTACATAATGAATGTAGAGTTTTGCGGAGCTGATAGACAGTAAAGGTACATTTTCGCTGAACAGGGCTAATTGAGTCATGCAGTGGAACGTCAGTCAAACTGGCAAATAAACTGAATTACGCAAATGAAAAAAAAATCACCTTGCTACCTATCCTTAAAAGTTGATAGGACCTCAAATGGCTTGTATCCGTCATAAGAAGCCATGATTACATCAGCTCGTCCTTGTTTGAACAAATTCTGGACAGATTCTCTTTTGTTTCAAACAGTGGCTGTGAGTGCATGTTCGCTTCCAATGCGCAAAATCTGTTAAACGTGTATATATATATATATATATATATATATATATAATAACTTTAAATAACCTTCGGACAAGACAGCACTTACTTTGCTCCATACTTACCCGATTTCTTTAGATTGTGTGATGTTATCCTTGCTCAGTTTTATGATATTATTTGCAGATATTATGATTAATATTAAAGTTACATACTATCTGGCGGAATGGCTGACATATCACTTTGACCCGGTTCAGCAATCATCTGCTACAGAATTGAAAAGAGAAAGAAAATAACATTAATATTCATTTCAGTAATTCCGAAGAATTTATGGCTCCCATGGAATCTTGTATGAAACGGTTCAAATGCCTGTAATTGCCGACATTAATGTATTGTCCTTTCTCACTTGCCGTACAGTGATGCAAATCTGTAATCAAGGACTGTAAAAGTCGCCCGATGGACCAAAACTGTGATCGATGGTCATCAAAATTTATGTTAATATCATTACTTAATGCTCACATCAACCTCTGAAGATGACCGACCAAGTATTATGGATTTTAGGATGCTTTCTTCTTCATAGAGGAGCTCACCACAAAGTTTGTGTCACTTCACGAAAGAAAGGCGTTGTCCATAAAACACAAAACACACGTTTTGCTACATGAAACAATATCACACTTTGAAAAAATGTCCAGGACTCTTGCGTCCAAACATTGATGAATTTATTGTGTATACTGCTGCGTACCAAACCTTATTTTCAGTCACGCCATGCTTAGCTGCTGCAGATAAGAGTGGCCATCAATCAAACAAAAATGACATCACTGTTTCTTTATATTTTTAATGCCTTAGTGATAAGTAACTCTGCATTAGTATTTCACAACACAAAAGTAGCTACTATGATGAAATAAAATAATAAATAAAACTTTACTTTTAGAAATCCATGCCACAAATGGGGGGAGGAGGAATAAAAAACTTGGTGGCCAACTTTCTTAAATGGATTGAGTGTTAGTGAAATGGGTGTCCGTAGGTACTTTGTTATGTCCTCTGAATGTACACTAGGTGGCAGTGTTGCTAAAAAAAAACACGAGATGAAAAAGGTTGTGCTGTTTCAGAAAATACAGTGTTTGGCCTTGTTATTTTGTCTCAGGCACCACATACTTAACCCGATTAGGGACAATTAAAGGGATGGACGAAAACCCACTTGCACCCTTGCTTAGTCCTTTGTAATAAAACTCACTTTGTCCTCTGTCCCAAAAATGGACATCCGTCCCAAATACTTTAAAACTGAAAACAAAGCAGAAATGTGACGTCTACGGTTATCAGACAGCAACAATATACTACTAAATCATCTTTTTAATTGTAAAAATATGTCATCCTTTCAGTGGCAACTTTTTCAGTAAAATCTCTTGCTTTGCTTTGTGTGGACCTAATAATTATACTTTTCTCTATAGGCCACAGACACATCTCACATCCCTGCATGAATTTGATCCTACAGGCTGGCCAAGCTCTGAATTATATTTGCCTTCTTTGCATAAGTTTTATTATGAAATGCAGAAATGATCATATTTGTAACAATAATGTCTTTTTTCTTGAATGGATTGCTTCAAGTATATCAGGACTCTTTTACCAGCTAGGTGCACACAGTGCATGCTTGGCTTGAGCACTTTAGTCTTTCTGTGAGAGGGAATTCCTACTTATGGAAGTGACTTTTACCTCTTAGAATCATATTATTACTAATGTACAAGTGAACATTGTGATTATCTGAGTGTGAGAAAACAGGGTGTGAGAGCGTCACTGTGTTTTTTTCTGTATGATTTTTTTTTTGTGTGTGAAAAAAAGATGTAGGAGCAATCACTATAATTTTGTGTGTTAATCTTAATGAAGGTGGCATGGTGATCGACTGGTTAGCACGTCGGTCTCACAGAGCAGAGGCACAGGGTTCAATACTGGCTCCGGCCTTCCTGTGTGGAGTTTGCATTTTCTCCCCGTGCCCGCGTGGGTTTTCTCCAGGTACTCCGGTTTCCTCCCACATTCCAAAAACATGCATGACAGGTTAACGGAACATTCTAAATTGTCCCGAGGTGTGATTGTGAATGCAAATGGTTGTTCGTCTCTGTGTGCCCTGCGATTGGCTGGCAACCAGTTTCAGGCGTCCCCCGCCTACTGCCCAAAGAGAGCTGGGGTAGGCTCCAGCATGCCCGCGACCCTTGTGAGGATAAGCGGATCAGAAAATGGATGAATGGATGGATGGATGAATGGATGGATGAATCTTAATGAAAGGCAAGTTGTCTTTAGTACAATAGAAGACTCTTCAGTGAACATATGGAATCAAGCCACTTTAAAATCTATTCAGAAACAGTTCTAAGTCTCGGTAGGACATACTGTAGGAGGTTTAATATCAAGCCCATATGCTGTACATGTGTAGGACAGACGGGTAGGTCGGGTAATTTTGTCTATTTACATGTTTGGTTTCAAGGACAATCACTGATAGACTTTTCAATTTGATCAAAACAACAGCAACACTGCATTTTTGCACAAACTACATACACGATGCAATATTTTGTTATTTTATAAATACTGGCATTCTACACTTGCTTGATTAAAGTCCATATGGACCATCATGACAACAAACATATCAGTTATTTAGACACTGCCTTTCCTAGTTTCCAAATTTCCTCCTGTGTTTTAATATGGGTTCAGTGAGGTGGTTTCTTGAGCATTTCATCATTTATATATCTATAAATTGAAGTCGTGCAGATTTATTCTTTGGAATAAAAACAAAAACTCTAATTTACTCATATGTAATGTCGTTCAGTTCAAAACAGCAACACTGCATCGATTGATATTTTATAGTTTTAGTGCTAGTATACTTGAGCAGAAGTTCTTAAAAGATCATATGAATTGTGCAATACTGTACAGAATGCAATATTTGGATGACCATAGGAATGTAGGAAAGAGCAACTGTGAGTGGTGAAGTGGAACACACCAAAGTAAGATGCACAGCAGAATGAGAATGACTGCCTGTCTAAAAACCCTCAAAGCAGGAGGAACGTGACCTGGAGGAGGATTTCATTTGGCATCCTGTTGTGGATCAGAAATCGGGCATCCATTTACTTTAAAATATGGTGAACATTTCACTGATGGAACTTTTACTACTGATGAACTATATTATGCCTTATAATTGATCAGTGTATCATTTGTTTCCATTTGGACCTGATGTCACGAAAATGGAAGTCCACTCAAGTTGACAAATTACTAGAAAAAAAAGAGTAAAAGAGAAAACATGTGCCTTCTGCTTTGAGGACCGTAGATATTTGTGAAGTCGACCCTCCTTCCCTGTGTATGTCAGCTTTGGTGTAAGACGTGGAATTGCACTAAAAATACAGTTGTATATCTGAAAGTGTACAGCACATTTAAGACAGCATTTATTTTCCTGTTCCTCACAACAATTTGATTGTTTTACAGGAGTGACTACACACATTGAGCTGCTGATGGGTTCCTTATTTATCCTCTTTTCATTTTTAATCATTTGCACTGGAAATGAATGGATGTGTGTTAAGTTGCATGCTGCTAAGTATTTGTAGCAAACCAAGTGACAATATGACTGCTTTAAAAAAAAGAGCCTGGCATCCCCAAAAAGCATTGTTACGCTATGAAAAGAAAACAGAATTGAATGTGTCATCTCTCATCATAGGCCTTCTAATATTTTGAAATAAACTACACACCAAAATATTTGATGACATTAAAGTGATTTTCGTGTTTCAATGCTTTTAAAGTGGGCCATCATCAGTTGCAAATGTGAATGTGTTAAAAGGCTTTCATAAAAAGACTAAAGTGCAATGTTACATAGGGTCAAATCATGGATATGTATTTCAAATGTGAACAAAACATTAATAAATGAAAGAAAAGGGATATTTGAATGAGACACTCTCATGGCATTGGTGTTTTTAATTATATCTTTTTCTCATCTTCATTTGATGCATATGTCATTTATGATGCATGGATGTTTGTTAGAATGTAACCTTTGAACAATCCTGTGTGGATTTTGCATGTTGCCTTGGTGTGTGCATGGGTGTTCTGTGGGTACTCCTGTTTACTCCCACATTCCAAACACATGCCCGATAACTTCAAAATTCTGAATTGCCCGTGGTTGGAGTTATTCCATATTCTTTGGGATTGGCTGCTTACCAGTCTTGGGTGCACCTTGCATCTCACGCAAAGTCAGCTGGTGTAGACTCCAACTCACTTAATGTGACCTCATGGGAATAGCAAGCGTGACAGGAAATACAAGTAACTCCAATTATGCTTCTTTTGTTCTGCAGTATACAAAAGTAAACAGAGGTCTAGGTATCATTTCTGAAGTGGGCAGAACAAGTACAAAGCCAACTTTTTCGATCAAATCATCATCAGTTCACATTCAACTGCTCTTCTCCAGAGAGAGAGCCCCTATAACCAAACGGTCAAACTCTGGCTGACATAAAACATGACGACAGTAAAGCATATGGTAAGTAGAGCACAGATTTGGTGAATTTGGCAAGACTGAATATCAATATTCAGTATTGAGGAAAACATCATTCTTACTTGCAAGTTTATTTCACACAAGATGGCAAAGAAGTAAAAAGGGTTTCAGTTTATGGTAAACCTTTGTTTTTATCCGTCAACATAAATAACAAGTAACATTTGATTGCATTCAGACAGGTCACTCCATCTCATCAGGCCCCTTCATGTTCGACAGATATCGCTTCCATTCTAAGTAAAAGCTTTTCATTCTGTTTAGTAATCAGTATGTCAGGGCCTCTAGTGCAGCTAATTTGGCCAGGTGAATGTGCCAGAAGTTGATGGAGTGGGGTGATGAAGCTTTCCAATTTGAAATAATAAATGTACGCCCCAACATCGGTGCAACCTGAACCCACTCTGGAACATGTGTCAAATAAGGACAGGTGCCCTAGCAAATACAGCCTCTTGGAGAAAGGGATATCATACTCTTTTTTTTTTTTTTTTTTAACATTAAAATGAATCTCACTCCAGACGTTTTTTTATTTCTTCACAGCTCCTCAGCATCTGAATCAGGGTGCCCTCCCCATTCTGGCACCTATAGCAGTCCGGCATTTCTTTTCACTTGACTATAGCTTAGAGGGGGTCCAATATTCAGGATCTTGAATTGGACAACCCTAGTTTTGATTTCTCCAGACATCTCCAGACATATTCTTCATGTTACAATACAATACAATAAAATACAATACAATATATCCTAATTTATAAAACCTCTCTCAACTCTCGATTTAAGACATGAGGTGTTGTCTGATCATTTTAAAACAATCGAATTAATATGCTGAAACCTCAAGCCCACGACCAATAGTTTGCAGTGTTTGTACAGCAAAATCTATGCTCGGGGCAGATGTTGAACAGGACCTAAATGTATGGAGGAACAGTTGTCTGAGTTGTAAATACTTTGGACCTCCAAAACTGGTTTGTCTCAATGTCAAAGAAAGATCTACGCATATCCCCAGTATCTAAATCCCCAAGTACTAAAATACACAGCCAACAGAGGAAAGGTGATTTTCCATATGGAGGCTGCAGTGTGAAAGTATGCATTAAAGCTTTTTTTAAAAATCTTTATTTAACTTTTATTTAGCCAGGTAAAACAGATTAAGAACAGAATTATTATTTACAGCCATGGCCTGACAAGAGGCAAACCAACTTGAGGAAAGGAAAAAAGAGGGGAAAGACAATTAAAATAACAAATAAAACAACAACAAAAATACACACTGTGGATGTGAAATAATAGAATGAGCTTGTGTCTTTATAATGAAAGCTTCATGGCAAAATAATGCATAGGAGGAAGTGGGTCCCAGCTCCAGCTCAAACCATGGTGGTGTCTTTTCTGGCGGTAGTGCTCAGTGTCTCAAACTGAATGCATCATGATAAAAAAGTGAATTTGGGACACCCAGTCCACCTTGATCCACGGACTTCTGTCAGTTATTCAAGTTCAATCAAGGACGCTTTTCATTCCATAAAAATGTGTTACAAACTGCTTTAACCATTTAGAGGGAATCTTCACCTTAAGTCCTTGTAATGAGTCATTGAATTAAGGTTTGTAATTCATTTTCATCACATTGAGCTTGCCCCAGCGCAAAAGAAATAATGGAGACCACTGTTTTACACCAATCTTAATTTTTTTTAACCTGGACCAAATTATCCAATGACAGGGTGAAAAGTATGCCCAAATATTGAATCCCTGACCGGGGCCAAGTAAACTCACTGGGTTGAAATAAGGTCCAATGGCCGTAGGATGTCCGAGGAATTGCCTATAATTTTTTTCCCAATTCACCCGCAACTTGATTGGCAGCATCCTGAGAGGTGCACATGACATTGATGAAACGTTATCGGGCGAGCTCCTGGAACAAATCAACCCAATTTGGGCGGGATGAATCAGGTCGGTAACCACTTAATGTATCATACTAATAGGTTCTTAAGAATTTTTCTGTCACATCCTCCAAGTAGACCGAATACTGTCATATGACATTTTGAAAAAACACAGTATGAGGAATGTGGTGAGCGCAGATTGTGAGCAGAAACTAAGGTTTGCGTTTGTTAGTCGCTTTAAAATATTACAGAGACCAGATAAGCTAACAAATTGTAGGTAACAATTAGTGTCAGCGTGAGGGCTCTCATTTGGTTTTGGCTTGGTTAGGATACTTTCATGCACCCTGAACAGTTTGCTCACCAGGAGTGGACCAAGCATGAACCCTGTCGAGAGGGACACAAGTCTCAATAAGAATTAAAGAAATTGTTTGGTTGCATTGACTGCTTCAAAAGGTTGTGCAGCGAAATATTACGTGAAAAAGAAAAAAAAAACAGCTGAAAAGGCAGAAGCAACATGCTTTCATAATTTTATTGACTTAATTGCCAACTGTGGCAATACCTGTAAAGGGAGACTGACAGAGATGGGACACTCATGGGCAGTTATCAGCATGAACCACGGTGCCATGAACATTTTGTTTGGAGTGAGTTGTCTGTTTTATTTTCTCAAAGCAAGACAACAAAGAAGCTTTACTAAGGAACACGTATTTTTTTCTGTTTCTAGCTTTTGTCTGACATGATGAAAAACTATGGGCGCATTTGTAGGATGTGTTCGTGGAAGTCTGGCGTTTTGATGTGATAGCGGCAATGATGATGCGACTGCTGCAGCAAAGCTGAAACTTCTGCATTTTTTATGACAAAAAATCTTTTTATAGAACTCCGAGTGATGTGAAAATGCAAACCAGCTGCCAGTGAAATCAGTTATTGACGTCAAACTAGTGTGAGGCTCTGAAACAGTGACGTTTCTAGTCTCCTAAAATGGGCATGCCATAAATGCCATTTTTGTTCTGGGATATCTCAAGTTACTGAACATTTCATTCGCATACTCTACTACAACTTCAATAGTTAATTAAATGGTGTTAATTCAAAATAACTGTATGTTTTAAAGTATCCATTAATTTGTCTCTAATTTCCGGTATTCTTGATGACATGGGTTAAAACCTCATGTGATATACGATAGGTGAGACTGGAAGTTGAGCATTGAAGGCAAGTTCAGCCACTCCCTGTTCCCAAGAAACCACCAAAAACTGAGCTTGAGACCAAACGTTTAGGTGGGAGATTCTATTTTGTGTAACCGATGAAGGTAAGAGCCTCATGGCAGAAGTCCTTCTCGGTGTTTGTGTACAAAATATAAACATGCATTGCATGTGTGTTAAGTGGCACAACTTTAACACACAATCACTACTCTTCAAAATATGTGATGAGATAAAACTAAATGTTTTAACATTTACAAGAAACACATCAACATAAATCAAACCAGCCACAGTAATCGGATTTGAAACTTTGATTTAATTTGTCTCATATTTGATGTGTAAATTAGTCAAGATTAGGAAATCAATTATGAATGGTCAAAAGCTATTTGGTATTTTTAAACAATATTTTGGGATACTTTTTTTTACAACAACCAGTTAAGTTATTATTATTAGTAGTAATAGTAGTAGTAGTATATTTTATCATCTACATTACAACATGCACATGATTCTGGATTTGGTTTACCTGGATAATTTAAAGATTCTTTGTTTGGTACCCTATCCTCCTCCAACTTTGAAATGACCCGTATAGTATACAAGACAACCATTCACGTCATCTTTTGACTCTCCTAACTTGAATGTTGGGAGGTGATAATCGAACACCGTCACCATTCTTCAACAGTCCATGTTTCCATAAATGCAAACACGACACCCCCCATTTGCCCAGTTCCCATCCTAATTCATGTCATTATACTGTATCTGAAAATCGTGGTTGAGTTGGCAACCTTGCTTAAACTACATCACTGCGCCACTAAACCGCGCCACTGAGAGAATCCAAGAGCGCTGCCCTTCCACACACCCCTTCTTCTGACGTCACCAACCTGCAAGTGAACGAATGAAGTAACGACGCACCGACCGAGCCTCTACGGGAGATACCGGGAGTCTGTCGCTTTGCACACGCAGTGAGTCCCTGTCACCAGAGGATCCGAAAGGGGGGAAGGTCGACACGAACAATGCGAGCAACCCAGTAACAGAGTGGAGACGAACAGAACCGGACTTGTTTTAGGAGTGAGAAAACAGACCAACAAAGAAGAAAAAAGAAAAAGACGGACGGACAAACGGATCCATTGCAATCCACGGTTAAGAGACGAATAGGTGCGGGGGGCCACGTACTGTTGTTCCGTGGACCAAAACGAGTGGAGCCGAGGTTTAAATGTTTTAACAGTACCGCCGCCGCCTTGAGAGCGCCAGAGAGCGGGATCTGCCCAGAGAGAGAACGACAGAGGGATCGAAGAGAGCAAAATCGGGATTTGCAACCAGTTCCAAGCCTTTTTTAATTGCATTCGTTTCCGTGGGTGCCGTTACCGGCAACGCTATCAAGCTGTGTTCTTTAACCATGGGATGTACTTTGAGCGCAGAGGAGAGGGCTGCTCTGGATCGGAGCAAAGCCATCGAGAAGAACCTCAAGGAAGACGGGCTCACCGCGGCCAAAGATGTCAAGCTGTTGCTGCTCGGTAAGAGAACCCCCGGCTCATCACCCGCCACCGAGGCTTCTGTGCAACTACGACGTGGGTGTCGGGGTGGTCATTAACGGTTCAGAGACGAAAAATAGATTCAGGGATAAAACCCATTTTAATATCGCCAGAACACCATGAAATGATGGATTCAATTGAATTGCTTTTTTTGAGTGCCTCTGAACACACCCAAATTTGATATTACATCACACACCCATTAAACTTGGGCCTCCATACACAAATATCAGGTACGTGATGATGGATGTCTCAGCAGCGTCGGTTTAGATTGTAGATCGATTCATTGATCTGGCCTCTGAATTATTCGTGGCGGCCAGGTTCACGGGGATGAAAAGGAAGTTTGGGAGGAAAGGGCGCGTCCTCCTTCTGCCATCTCCACCCAGCTTGTTCACTGAAGATGATGATACTCTCTCTCTCTCTCTCTCTCTCTCTCTCTCTCTCTCTCTCTCTCTCTCTCTCTCTCCACCCACACCATCCCCTTTTTCACTTTCTCCATCTTGCACTCTCACACAATGCACGTATAAAGGTGCTCCAAGCCACCCAGTTTACATTGTCTTTTCTTTCATCCCCGCAGGGGCTGGAGAGTCAGGGAAAAGCACCATCGTTAAACAGATGAAGTAAGTCTCAATTAAGCATGGTCCAATAAATCTACAGTGAATACAATCACTGGGCTGCTCTCTGTCTGGAACATATCAAAGACAACAACATGTACTGCAGACATTGAGCTAACCTTATGAATTTTTTTTTAGCTTGCCTGTTTTTTTGCCTCTATAATACTCACATTAACAGTGAATGTAAAGATATACAGTAGGGCTGGCGGGTGGTATTGGCTAAGTCAACCACAAAATTTGTTGAAAAAAAATACTGTATGCATCTTATCTACTGTATTCAAAATGTTCACGCCCAGTTTCATTCAAATCATTGGTTGACATGCACTTACCTATAAATGCAAAAAGTACAGAAAATACAGTGCATCTTTGATAGTCAAACACTCAGAAGGTGATACAACTTTTGTGAAAAATAAACCTCTCAAACTGCACTTTCGAAACTAAAGAATTTTAAACTCCAGTTATGTTTCTCTGATTACTTGTGCTTCGATTTAAGTTTTAAAGGTCTCATGCCGTCAACATCTTTTCCACTGTTTTATTCATACTATAGGACAAAATGAGTCTGTGACATGAATAGCGTATGGAAGTCAAAGGGCTGAAAAACAAGAGGATTTAATTTTGGTGTTGTTGTGACGTATATTCATTACTCATTATTCAAGTACCCGCCAACTACACCACTTAACTGGGGGAAAATGGCTGAGGGCGAAGGTGCGTCTGCGTCTTTTGCAAAGCTAAAACTTTGCATCAGCTGCCAACCTCAGAGGAGTTGAGGAATAAACTGCTTCAATGTATTTTGGGAAAAAGCTTTTTTTTTTTTTTTTTTTTTTTGTGGAGGACGGCTCCATCAACATAAGCGTCCATACATGCTACAATTACTGGCTTTGAAGCGACACAGCCACACATCAGTCCCCTCTGGCGGCTGCGAGGTCATGCAGCGTCACCACTGAGGTGGATTTAACAAAAAAGTACAACTGAGAACCAGCTGCAGCCGATGGCTTCGTACTGTCAGTCCACTTCAAGGTGCTCGCTGGGCGTCATCTTGGAGAAGAAAAAAAGGAGGAAAAGGTTTCCGCCAGGGCGACTGGCTGCTGTGGCAGCTTTAGAGAGCATCATGGCCATTCTCAAATAAATCCGCATGTAGTTGGGATAGATCTTGTTTTGGTGATTTTGCAAACGGGTGCAAGTCGGCGCAGCATAGCAGATTTAAAAAGGGCATTTTGCGCCATCACGGATGTGAACACAGGTGACTTCATTCACCGCCAATCGAAGCGGTGCCTTTCACTACTTTTAAATGTAGCATGCGAGAACCGTGCTGATTACTTTTGACATTGTGGAAGAAGAAATTGTTTTGCAATGGATTTTGACATTGCAAAAATCATAAAAATAATGACAAAAGGATTCAAACCAAGCGTCAGTCGAGATAAATTAAAAGATAGCTTGCAAATGGGGCCTAAAACAAGAGCGTAAAGGAAAGATCTATGAGAATGCTGCAGTAAACAATAATGTTGACAAAATGATTTTCACCCCACCCCAAAATGGTCAGCTGCTTACACAGACGAATTAACCCTTAAAGGCACAACCTCCCATACCTACACTTTTTCATGAGTGGGCTCAAAAACTACCCCAATTAGAATGAATGTTTTATGCTGTAAACTTGAATAAATGTCTCTCATTTTGGTTAATGGTGTTGATTTTTATTTTATTTGGCTGATCAAAATAATTCTTTCATGTTTGGCATGTTAACTGATTAATTTTTAACGAACATTTTATCGCTAATTGCCCCACGGGGATAAATAAAGTTTTCTGAATCTGAATCTGAATCTGAATAAATAGCATTGGCTTGGTGTTTTGCTCTGACCAGATGACTTAAATGTGTCCAACTGGTATTATTTCTGAAGGGGAGGGGATGGATTTCTATGTGCTTCTGCATTTCTAAATGGCCTGCCAACTCCACATGGACAATAGTTAGGATTCTGTTCATCTGAGATGTCAAATCCCAAGGCAAACACCATAACAGGCTCCACCACTTTTAGGATCATTTGTGCAGCAAGTTCTCAAGGAATCTTAGCAGTCGTGATGCTCTTGATGAAAACATAAATGATTTTTGATAGGCACAATATGGGGACATACATACACGTATCACATACACTTTTATCACTGGGTAATCAATAATAGCAGGCCTGTAATCAATAAAAGTAGGCATACAATTGGCCATCTGATGGGTTAACGTTTATTACAGAAAACTGTCAATACTTTGACAGTAACAGTATGTTTCTCTAAACAACAAAAGCATCATGTTAGCAAGTATTAGTTTAGTTGGCTAGTGTTGCTAAGTACAAAGTAGCAGTTCAAAGATGGTAACCATAGATATGAACATAAGTTTATCGGACACGCCCCTTTTGAGCCGCATATCTACAACGATGCCTTACTTGGACAGGCAAATTTCCATGTCTATGTGCAGTATGAAAACTGGTGAAAAAAGATTGCCGGCACATTGTGCTGGATACACTTGCAACACTGGAACTATAAATAATGCATCCATCCATTATCTGAGCTGCTTATCCTCACGAGGGTCTGTGGTATGCTGGAGCCTATTTCAGCAACCTTTCATAGATAAAAAATATTGTTTGGCTTTCTTCTTCTTTCTAAGTTGTGTATCAATAGCACTTTTTGGCATTGACAAATAAGTAAACCCAATAAAAATCGGTTGAGAAATGAGCTACTTGCAACTTCATTTCAATGTCAGTGCATTTCCTTAAATGTGAACATTGCCTCTGTGGACATGGCCGCCAAGTAGGCATGTCGGTTAGCTGGGCTGCTATATGCTGGCAAGCTGGCCGGTATATCTTGATCATATCTTTGATGATAACATAAAACCCATGGATGTGAAAAATAACTATATTTTATAACAGCACATATTTTATGAGGTATAAAAGTTATGATAATACATTTATGTTGTTGTGTTGCTGAAATCATGACCTTTGTGGTGGTACTTGGATTAGATGTGTGTATCAGCAGTCATTGTATACTCGGCGGTCACAATTGATAAAAGTAAATGGTTTTTAGGGTTCACCTTTGAAATTTGTGGGGTTAGTTTTCGATCCCACCTAAGGAAAACTGTAGTCCCAACACAAAAATTTCAATACCTTAAGAACTACACGAATTACATACAAATCCAAATACAAACCCCTCATGTCAAACAAAACCCATTTGAGGAATACATGGAATATTAAAGAATCAAAATGAAAAATTACAAACATATTGTAAAAGAGCAAGCCCTGGGGTAAATTTTGACCCCATTTATTCATCTAACACTTTAATCAGCCTTTAATCCAGTCGTGATGCCCCCCCTCCCAATTCCTCCAATTTCAGTGTTGCATCACTTTACAGACAGTTCAGTGCACTTAGGATGATAATAGGCTTTGGCCATAGTAACATATGAACACATATCACATGAATACATGATTCAGTGGCTCCAGATGAGCCTGTTTCTCAGCTGTTAATGGTCATTCTCACAGTGTGGCACATTCTGCACGCTGACTGAAACTCCCAGGGGATTCATTGAATGTACGGTATAAACTTTGCAATACAGACTATTCTTCAACTGATTGATTCTAGTGGCCTGTAATAAATCACTGAAACAAATGAACGGTCATCTCGATAAATACATCCTGCTCATAGTATTGTAATGTCAATTTGCTCTCATTATGTGCGGATGTTGGAATAGAATTTTAAAATGATTCTCATGCTAGTGTAGGAGCCAGTTTTCTTCCAGGTGATTCATTTCCATCTGCTTCTGCAGCCTTCTTCTTATTGACGGCCTGGGAGGGCCAAACTGCTGTGTTGCCCAGAGAGAGTCTTTCAAAACTGAAATAATTGATTGATTTGGGAATTTTGGAGCCGCAGTGTTCATGTCAGCTCCACAATGAAGGCTCATTCCTTCAAATGGGCTTGTGACATAATAGAGGGGAAAATGCACAACACAATGTTGTGTCCTCTATCCTTCTTAAATTTCCCTTCAGAAAGGCTCAGTGAGTTCCTGCATTGGATTTGATTCAAATGCCTTGACTGCATTTTCTGTTGAAGGGATTTGAACATCTGGGGTGCACTTGAGTCACCCCTTAAGTGTGTGTGTGTGTGTGTGTGTGTGTGTGTGTGTGTGTGTGTGTGTGTGTGTGTGTGTGAGTGTGTTGTGTGTGTGTGTGTGTGGGTGTGTGTGTGTGTGTGTGTGTGTGTGTGTGTGTGTGTGTGTGTGTGTGTGTGTGTGTGTGTGTTATTCAGAGAGTGATACAGGGAGATTAGCTGATTAGATTTGGGTTGAGATTTTATGGTGTCTCTGTTGAGCGAGCACTGTGTGTTTCAGTTGCACATGTGAGCTCAGGGAAAGAGAATAAGAAGTCCTTTAGAATGATGTACAAAATTAACACTACTTTCACTGATCATGTGATACAGTGTGAAGAGGGAGACTTAAGAAGGTAATGAATGAAACGCCAATGCATTGCCCATGAAAACATGCTAATAACCTACATGAATTTTATGTTTATGGACACAAATGTTCCCTGAATATGATATTTGTATGATCTGAGACAGTGTGGGTGTGTGTGTGTGTGTGTGTGTGTGTGTGTGTGTGTGTGTGTGTGTGTGTGTGCGTGTGTGTGTGTGTGTATACGTGCATGCGTGCAGGCTAAATTTTGATGCCCAGTTATCCTCGTGAAGGAAGCCGCTGAACACAAACAAATAATGCCTGACAGCGAACGTGACTGAAGAACTGCAAAGGAGTGTGTGCTTAAGTTTCAATAATAACATTAACGCATCTCCTGTGCTATCTCGAACTAACATTGACATTCCTGTGCTATCTCTAACTAATTCAAGCTCATATAGGTTTGATATCAATATTATGGCGAAAAATAGCCCACGGGCTGTCAGTTACCCATCCCTGTCTTCGTTTTTGTCTCACAGTTCTGCGGTTTGAGGGACAGATCCCATTGTGTGACGTCTGCATGTTCTCC